GGGTAACAGGTATGCACCACCTCACCCAGCTCCTTTACCTCCTTTGATCACATGGTATGCAGACCTCCGGCACAGGTGCTGTGTGGGGTCAAGTCCTGGTCCTGATACTTCCCCTCGGGGTATCCGAGGCAAGTTCTCTCCCTCTCTGTCCCTCTGTCCCTCTCTCCTGGTGGGGCAGTGACAGTGCCCACTCAAATGTTAGTGCGAGACTCAGTTCCCTTACCTTAGGATGGAGGTGATGATGGTACCTACCTGGTAGAGGTGTGATAGGAGGAGTGAGTGATTGTTTTCAAAGCCATCAAGACTCTGCACAGCACTGAAAATGCCACCTAAGTGTTTCCTAGAAACACTGATTGAGGGGCTGGGGATTTAGCTCAGCGGCAAAGCGCCTGCCTGGCAAGCGCAAGGTCGTGAGTTCGGTTCCCGGTACCAGAGAAAAACCAAAAAAAAAAAAAAAGAAACACTGATTGATGTCTGACCTCTCTATTTGGCAGTCAGCCTCGGAAGGCAGGGGCTGGGCTTGGTTTTACTCTCCTTGGTACCCCTAGTCTTGGTCTATAACAGACATTTGAATGTTTGATGAATGAATATTTGATGAATGAATGAATATATTCTGCTCTTCTTTAAGCCAGTGAGTTTCTCTCTGCTGGAAGTCATTCATACTTTCGTATGAAGTATGAATTAATACCACCTTTGCTTGATTTGATTCCTACATGAAAAAAATGTTCTGCCTCCTGGAGAAGTAAAGTGAAAGCTCAGTGAGTGATCAGATGAGGGAGTCATTTTATCAGGGGCAGAAGGGCAGGCTTCATCCTAGACCTTACAACCGAGAACTGTGTCTACTGCCTCTTTAGGGTGAGCTCCTAAGTACTTGAGCTCCTTATATTTTATTTACATATTTATTTATTTTGGTTTTTTCAGACAGGGTCTTGTTACATTTTAGGCTGGCTTTGAACTCACTAAGTTGTCCAGGCTGGCCTGGAACTCTCTGAGATCCTCCTACCTCAGCCTCCTGAGTGCTGGGATTACAGGCATGCAGTACCATGATTAGTTTTATTATGGTACCATGTCCAGTTGTGTTGTATTTTTAAGGCACGCTTTTCCTCCTTTCCTTGAGGGAGAGGGGCCCTTGGCAGGAAGTCCTGACTGGGAGTTGGAGGCTTCCCAGGGGAACCTTGCCTGCCCTTGGCACCGCAGGAGGTTACACTAATGGGCTGGTGATGCCCAGGAGGACAGCCTGCTAAGACGGGGTCAGGTTCAGGCTACCAGAGCTCAAATAAACTGGAAGGGCGTCCACAGCTTGGAACGCGAAGCCCTGGGGCTTGGCAGGAACCGGGAGGGTATGGCCAAGCGTGGGATCGACCCCAGGCCTGGCCTGGCTGTCGGTCTGAGATTGCGTCCGGTCCCTGATCAAAGGGGAGTGCTGCTTCCAGGGCAGAGGGGCAGGTCTGTGTTTACTTCTCCTCTCTGGGCTTCTTCCTTCCCACAGGAGCTGCAGATGGAGTTTCCTTGAGTGGTGACCCGCTGTGTCGTGGAGACACATTTGATAAGTTCATGTTGCAGGGAATTAACCGACAGGTCGGAGCCCCAACCAAACACCACTGCGGAACGCATCTCAGCCAGAGAGCACTCACGGAACCCGGAGGTGTGCCTGCCTGCAGCGCGTGTGGAGGACAGTGCCCTGGAGCCCAGACCCTCCCGGGCTCCCTGGGGAACGGCCCTCACTTTTGCACATCAGGGCCTGCTCCTCGTAGGGTCGTGATGAGCAAATGCACTTGGGCAACAGCCCTTCACTACTCAAGCCAGCCCCAGCGAGGGTGTTGGGGTGCAGCACGGCCTTGCAGCCCAGCGCCCCCTGGCGGGAACAGGGCACTTTCTCTTGCAGCTGCAGCAAAGGCCATGCACTTTGTACGTACTTTGCAGCTGCACCAGCACAACCCCGTCGTCTTCCGGTTCTGCTGCTGGGAAGTGGGGCCAGTCTCACCAGGCCGCACTCGGACGCGAGCAGAGGCTCACAGGGACACCGTGTCCTTGTCCTTCCCAGCTCACAGAGGCCCCACCTTGTCCTCGGAGCCACAAGGGAGCATCCTCAGGCTGACCTTTGCAACTCCCGCTCAAGTGGAGTGAGCGAGATGAAGGGGAACAGAGCTGCTGATATACGAGCCCAGCTCTGCGCCTGAGGCAGAAATTCCTCCGTGAGGGACATTCCTGGGCCCCTTCCCTGTGACAGACTCAGAGATGGACTCTCGCAGCCTTGGGCCTTGACAAGTTCGTAGGTGGATGAGGACAGAGGCACTCACACAACTGTCTCATACACATGCTCGCTAGACGCTCATGACAACCCCAGGAGGTAGGAGTCCCATTACTTCCACTCCCAGGACAGCAAAGCACAGACGGGGTAGGTGACTCGCCCAAGGTCACACAGCCAGGAGGTCTTGGAGTGGGGAGTGGGCCCAAGCCAACAGGCTTCAGAGTCTGTATTCATGACAACACTTAACATCTCCTGGTCCACCTTACTCTCAGCCTGGACACTGGCCTTGGCCTCCATCGTGTCTAATAGGGACAGCAGGTGAGGACTCTGTAGGTCATCTGTAGAAAGTGATATTGGCGACAAGTATCTGAAAGGTTTTCTTCATTCTTTCCTTCTCTAAATTCCAAAAAGCATGAATCGTGCTGATTAGTAGGAAAACTGCACAATTCATTAATTTTTTAAAGACTGAACTGAAGCCCAGGAGTGGCAGTGGGAATAAGGAGGTGTCGACCAGTGAGGCCAGGGGTGGCCTTGGGTGTGGCTGGGTGACAGCCCCGGCACTCAGGTCTGTGTGTTGATGAGGGAAACCAGCAGCAGACCAGTGCTGCTCAGGAGCGACAGGACACAAGCCGCATACCCGACCCTTCTCCAGTAGCCGTATCAGACAGGAGGAGGAAACAGGGACGATTCGTGTAATGACGCATTTTACGGAGCCCAACATGGGCAAACATTAGAAGCACAGAGCACACTCCGTATAAAAATTCCTAGGGTATAGTCACCTGTTTTCGTAAGTCTTTAAAGTGCAGGGTAGATTTTCTGCTTAGGGCAGATCTGAGTTTGGACCTGTCCTGTCTCACATGTCACTGGTCCCTGTGACAAAGGATCCCTGAGAGGGATGGGCAGTGCCCGCACGGAGGGGCCCCAGCCCAGTCTCCAGTGACAAATGCCTTCTGGCTGTGATGCTGCGGGGGACAAAGGGGTTGACAGAGAGCAGCGTGGAGCTGGCCTCCCCGGGTGGAGCGGACCGTGACGGGCAGATGAGTGCAGAGTGTCCCACGTGTCCCACGCAACTCAGCTGCAGAGGCACGAAGCCAGCAGAGCCTCAGGGACTGTGGTCTAGCCCTCGGGTCAGGGAACACAGACCTAGAAAGCAAGCCGGTGAAGAGGGGAGAGGTGACTGGGTGCGGGTGGCATGGGGACCTGCAGGACAAAGGCCAGGCATCTGGGCGGACAGAGCTCAGGCTGCAGTGTCCACTCAGCGGGAGGGTGTCGGCAGCCCCACAGAAATGGGGCCACCCACAGACAGAGGCAGGAAATAGGCCAGGAGCAGAGTGTAACCTTCCAGACAGGACAGGGATGCGGGCAGGAAGAGGGGAAGCAGCAGGAAGCCTGTGGGAGGTGTGGCTGTCCCAGGAAAACCGGGCAGGAGGTTTCCCTAAAGGGCTGGGGTCTGCAGGGGTCCGACAGCAGGGGCAGCGCGAGGAGGGCAGCGAGTGTGACTCAGGGAGTGTGACAAAGCACGAATCTCCATCCTTGTCCTCCCGTACCATGGCAGCCTGAGGGGCAGCTTCTAGTTCCATACCCTGCTATACAGGTGGGGAAACTGAGGCACGGTGGGGTCTGTGTCAGTGGTGGGCCCCACTCCCCAGCCTCTCGGGACCTTCTGACTTCTCCATGAGTGGCAGCCTTGGTGGGATAGACGTGGGCCAGGGATGGTGGGCTGAGCAGAGAGTGTGGCGCCTGGAGCAGGGCCCATAGGGCTCGGCACATGGTTGCAGGACAAAGACATGGAGGAACGTCCTAGAGCCCGGGCTAAAGTCTCCACCTGGGTGGGACCAGGGGAAGGCAGGCGAGGCAGGTCCGGGACGCAGTGCTGGCGACGCTCCTCTCTGCTCCCGGCAGCCCTTCTCAGTTCTGCAGGAAGCCCGCCCGAGTATGGGTTGCTCCAGTGCCTACACTCACTGCTGAGTGTCCCGGCCGAGCTCTGTGCGGACATCAGAGCCGAGCCTGTCTCCAGGCCAGCGTGAGACCTCCCTGCATTAAAATGGGCCCATCTCTCAGGCCATGCGTCTGCTGCTATCACTATTCACCCAAAGGCCAGGAGGGGTGGGTGGTACCCCAGTGTGCGGTGCGCGGGCAGGAGGAAGGAGCCGCTGGGCCAGGCACTGGCTCTGTGCAGGCGCCCGCTTGGCCGGGGCAGCTCCTGGAAGCCGCGAGGATGCTGAGCTCTGTCACTCCGAGGTCCCGGGCCTGCCGCCTTTCCTGCCTTGCACCTCATTGACAAGATGAGCCGGGGTTTCAGCCTACACTCTGCACTGTTGCGTGACCTCAGGCGGGCATTGTACCTCTCTTTCCACATCTGTAAAATGGGTGTCACATCAGTCCCTGCTCAGCGGGGCATGAGAACAGCCCACAGAGCGTGCTTATGAGATTCTAAGTGTGGGACGTCGCCCCTGCACACACTGACCTGTACGGCACTCTTGGGACAGATGTGACCAGCTGTGCCTCACAGGCTTGATGTCACCGGAACTGCACGGAAGCTTGCTGTACGTGAGACTGTCCCCAGATCCACGTCAGAGAGCAGGAGTCAGGGTCTCCCCGCGGCCACCCACCCAGAAGCTGGCCGCACAGCAGCTGTTCTGGGCAGACGGTTTGGGGCCCAGCTGGGAACTTGGCCGAGGTAGCTCAAGTCCCACCCACCCTGGGCGGCCCCAGCCTGCAGCCCCAGCACCTCCCCAAAGGAGACAGGAGACACCATCCCACAGGAACAGCTCATTAGCAAAAGTGTAGAGTGGCAGAGCCACTCCCGGCCACTTCAGTCGGCAGGACCCACGCCCCCTCCTCCTGCTGCCACGCTGGAGCTGCTGGAGCTGCAGCTGCCACAGGGGGTCAGAGACTGGGGCCAGAGGTTAGAGGGCGGGCTAAAAAGAACCTGGCAGGCCAGATGCCTTCTGGGGGTGGAGGCATATGACACTTCCGGAAACAGGAGCCAGGGGACGCCGGGAGGGAGCTGGGAGAGGCCAGAGCACACACTTCTGTCCCCCTCCAGGGCCCACCCCGCACCCGGTCCCTCCTTTGCCGGTGTCTGCAAGGTCTTTGGCTGCAGGAAGTGCCTCGCATCGGCCGCAGGATGGGCAGCTGCGGGAGGAAGGTCCTCTGGGCTCTCTGTCTCCTGCAGCTCCTGGGAGCCAGCTCTGCCAAGGACATCTGGAGGCGCTCCCTGCCCGAGAGGCTGCTGCCAGAGAGGCCCCCCGTAAGTACCTGAGAGCTGTGGGTGGCCTCTGCGGGTGGGTGCAGCTGGAGCAGGAGACCTCCAGCTGAGTTCTCCTGCCCACATCTCCGCTGTGTGCAAGAGGAGTGTGGGTGTTGGACAGAGAGACTCCTGTCCTCCCGACCCCTGCCAGCAAGCGGGGGGGCAACGGCACCCCGAGTGTGCCAGAAGGGTCGAGCCTGGCTTGGGACCGGCAGCCAACACTTGCTTCCTCCTGAAGATCAGCACCTGTTCCAGGGCCCAGGGACCTGAAGCGGTGTTTTGCCTCCACGTGGGTAACCCTGTGTATGTGAAACAGAGTTACCCATTGGTAGGATTTGCGCATTTGGTAAACTTCAGCGGCAGCTGCTCTGGGGAAGCATCGTGTGGGGTCTGTGAAGGTGACTGCAGCTCCCACCTTGGAGGCTGGGGCAGGCAGTCTGGGGGCAGGTGATGGCGCACCAAGGAAGCGCCCAGGTGCCGGCAGACCGGGTGGCTGGGTGCGAGGGTACGAGGCTCCACGCCTCCCCAGCGGTGTGACTTCAGGCGCAGTGGGGGCATCTCTGAGCCCTCGCAACCTCGCCGATGCCTTCCCCTCAGCAAGACGTTTCCGTCTCCGCTGTTTACAGGCACTGTCCTGGCTCAGGGAGGCAGCGGTCAGATCCCTGCCCCGGGGAGTTCACCCCACCGCGGGGACAGCGCAGAATAAGTGAGAGGGGTCCTGCTTTCGAGTGCCAAGGAAATGAGGCAGGAATAGACTGGCAGAGAGTGGGTGCAGCGAAGGGTGTGATTCAGTGCCCTGGGACAATGCAGAGCCACAGGCTGAGGTGCGCGGGGCACACGTGGGTGCGGAGTGTTACGTGGCCTCTCTGGAGCTCAGGGCATGAGGGAGGATGTGAGGCTTGAGAGCACAGAGCACTTAGCATGGAGAGCTCCTCACTTAGCATCGTGAGGCTTTTAAGTTGTGAAAGTGGGTGGTGCGGGTGGGACATGGGTCTCCAGGCAGGGCTGCATTCTATCTAGTGTACTCGGGCCCAGCTGGCACCTGCCTCTAAGTCTGCACCCACCATGTCCTGTGGGTGAGTGGTGAGTAATCACAGTGGAGACAAAGAAGAATGTACATGTGGCTCTGTCCCAGGAGAGGCAGAGCAGGTCTTCCAAGCTTGAAAACATTCGACCTGAGGCTTTGAGGGGTGAACAGGAGTTTGCCAGATGATGGAGACAAGGAGGGGGGTGGGTAAAGTTTAATGACCCCAGGCATGGTGGGTACAAGAAACTGGGACTGAGGCCACTCTGGGCCTCTAAGATCCTATTGTCCAGGCTGGGCAGGTGCTCAAGGGAAGACACAGGCAGCCCCAAGGCAGGGGAAGAGCAGCAGGAAGCAAGATGCTGGTGGGCTTTTTGAAGGAGGGCAAGCACACCCTGAAGCCTTCCTGGAGGAGCCAGGCACCTAGACTGGGGTTTGGGAAAGGTAATGAGGGGTGGAAAAAAGTTATTGATTAGGGCATTAAGAGATCATGATGGTGACACAGATTTACTGAGGTGAAAGGTGTCCACTGCACTCTGTTAAGCAAAATAGCCGGTTACAAAACAGTGTGTATGGCATCGACAGTTCTTTATTTTCGAGCAAATGCATTAACGAGCACAGACAGGAAGAAACTGTCTAGAACGGCGTTCCCTAGACTGGTGATTTAACTGTTCCTGGGAGTGAGACGCTGAGTGTGGTTTTAAGAGTATTTTTTGACTGTGCTGTCATAAAATGTTTCTAAGTGCAGGAAACTAAGAATCGCTTTAAGTGTGTGAGGCGATGGATGTGTTAATTGGCTTGATTGCAGGAGGCATTTCACGGTGTAAATGTATATCAGATGTGATATTGCACACCTTTAATGTATGTGATTTTTCAATTATACTCTATTTTTTTAAAAAGAGGGGGAAAGACAGAAGGAGAGGGAGAAGAAGAAAGAGGGGGAGGGGAAGGGAAGGGAAGGAGAAGGGAGGGGAGGGGAGGGAACGGGGAGGGAATCGGGGAGAGAATCAGGAGACAGGGAGCTTCTGACAGGGCTCACGTGACAGAGGTGCAGAGGCCGAGAGGGGGCATCCGGCACTCTCACTGCAAGGGGCTCTGGGGTAGCAGGTAGGACTCCGGTCAGTGAGGCAGGGTCCCTCTCGGGCCCAGCACTCAGATGGGAGCAAATGGGATGTGCCTCACGTGAGCCTGGGGCACACGGCAGCCTCGCTCAGCACACAGGACCCTGGGCAGGATGCCAGGCCTGGAAGTCACCTCTCAAGAGCTGTGCCACGCTGCGCTGCTCACTGCCTCTCTCTGGGCCTCGGTCATCACCTGGGAAACAGAGGCAAGGGACCGGGGGATCACCAGCGCCCTTCCAGTTCTCATCCTAATGTCCATTCCGGTATCCAGCAGGGAAGTGGGTGTGGGGCGGAAGATGAGGAGCAGCCTTTCTTTCCCGCGTGGCCCATACCACACCGGCCTCAGCCCTGGGCCCTCAAGGACTGTGGGCTAGCCGTGGGGCAAGGCTGGGCGCCAGCGCTGTACTGGAAACAACTGCACTGTGCAAACCGCATCATGCACACTTAGAGTTTATGGTCTGTGTTAAAGAGAAAGGACAGGCGCGCTCCCCGCCAGCTTGCAGCCCTTCCTAACTATTCTGCTGTGGCTCACGGTTCTCTCTGCGTCTCTAGGTCTCTAGGTGTGGCAGAGTGAGACAGCTCTGTGCGTCCCCTCCTCCAGCAACCTCTCACTGTGGCTGCAGCTAGCCGTGCTGGGACCAGGGCCAGTGTGGACGCTGTCCACAGGCCACTCATGTGCAGGGAGCTGGCTGCAGCCCTGCCAACCCAGGGCGCCCGCACTCAAAGCCCTCCATGGGCAGAGTGACTTTTGTTTCAGGGATGGCTGAAGTGGGGCGCAGCCTGCGTTTCTGTTTCCGGCAGCGGGGGGGGGGGGGGGGGGAGGTACCCTCCGGGAGACTCCTAAGGCGGCCTCAGTGTACCGCCTTCTGGCTGCACTGGAATGGCGAGTTCCTGCTCCTCTCTGAGCCTGTGTCCTTGTCTGTAGTGTGGATTAGCAGTGCCTGCTCCTCAAGGTCGGGAGACAAGACCGCAGAGCCCTGAGCCTGTCCCTGACCCAGCACTGCATTCTCTGCATGTGCATATATGTGCACACATACGTACATGTACGTATACAGGGATGCATGTAGCAGAAGCAAAGATTCACGAGGCCAAATTGACCAGCAGCGGAATATTCCTGAATGGTTTGACAACCTTTCTGGGTGGCGGGGGTCGGTTCTGTGCGGGTGGTCTTTCTTGGCTTTTCTTTTCTGGCACTTGATGAAATGACGAACAATCACTTATGAGCACTTACTATGTGCCAGGCCAAATGTGTGCCATGCGTGACTGTTGGGATCCTCTTGACCAACCCACGGGGTGGGGACCACTGCAGCCACTATGCCAGCCTGGAGCCAGTGCCCGGACGCTCCTCGCTGTCACAACTGCGGTTCTCTTGTCTCCCAAGTGCTATCCGGGACAGCAGAAATGGTTGTTCAGCTTGCATCCTGCCCAGAAGTGCCTGTCCCACTGGGGGCCTCTTTGCACTGCACCCTGCCAGCCCGGACCCCATTTGAAGTTTGTCTGCTTGGGGTATGGGGCTGGGGATGAGCACATGAGCCAGATGTGGCCGTAATACTTGCGTTCCTCAGTTTCCCCAGCCTGGCTCTCCTTTCCCCTGTTACTTCTAGGAGCTTCATTTATTCATTTGTGCAGCAGTGCTAGGCTGCATCCCAGGGTCTCACGTGCCAGGCCGGTGCTGTTGTACAGAGCTGCGCCCCAGCCCCCAGTGAGCTCTCCAGGGCCTGCCACAGTGCATTTTGTTTTTGCTGAGTAGCAGGGGTGGGCAAGGCAGATGGCTTGAGTGTCAGTCCCTGCACCTCCGCCCCTTGCCCCTGCCGCCCAAGGCTTCCTCGGCCAGGTGCTCTACCTGAGCTTGCTGGGACAGCCCCCACCCTTGTCCTCCCGCACTTAACTGAGATCTGTGGTGTGGGTGAGATTGTGTCTGCCCAAAAACAACAACAAAAAAGCAACCACAGGTCCAAGCCCTAACCCTGGTATCTGGGAGTGGGATCCGATTTGGAAATAAAGTCATGGCAGACGTCGTGAGTCAAGCTGAGGTCATGCTGTGTCAGAGTGAGTGCTTGATCCCATAGGACCGATGTCCTTAAAAGAAATGACACAGAAGCAAAGATGCAGAGAGAAAGACATGGGAAGACAGACCAGAGACAGAAGGTATGTGTATGTGTGGGTGCCGTGAAGCACTAAGGAGCCGCAGGGGGACCCAGACTCAGCCTAACTCCGATCTCTCACTCTGGCTGCAGGACCTCAGGCTGAGTTCATCTCAGTGCCTGGGGCTTAGTTGTAGCCTCCCCACCCCTCCCCGCCTGCTCCCCCACCACCTGGGCCAGGGTAACAAAGCTCTCACTACAAGGGCCCTGGGCGTTCCCTATACCCCTTGCAAGATGCAAGCCCACATGTCCCCTGCTGCAGGAAGCCATCATCAGACCACTGAGACACCCCTGTCTGGAAGAGCAGTGCCCAGAACACCCAGGGCATGGGTGCCCATGGTCAAGGCCCTGGCAGAGCCCTGGGTTCACCCAGGTGCTGGAAGGGAGGCTCACAGCCTGCAGGAGTGAAACATGGGATCCCCCAACCCGAGTGTAGCCCAGAGCCCGGCCTGGATAGAAAGAACAAAAAGTAAATGAACACTGTGGCTTTAGGGTGAGCTCGGCTAGACCACTATCTCCTCTCTGGGCCTGGGCTTCCAGTCTTGAGACTCTAGTATGGCCTGGGAGTGAGCAGGGGAAGAAGGATCCAGGTCCCATGTGGTTATAATCAGGCAGTGAGAGGGAGGCAGGACAGAGGAAAGGACAGCAGAGGGACCCTCGGAGCAGCCTCAAGGTGGAGACAGCTGATATCCAGCAGGTGGGAGGCAGATA